TTACAAGTTAAGACTTGTCTGTATTGTTTAAAGCATATAGAAAACTTCTGAGAACTTTTGGATGCTGAAAGTATGGTGCAAAATATTTCTGTTTACAGTTGCTGTTTGTTTGGTTTTCATAACGTAGAGGATTGCTCTATATTGGATGGTAGGCAAGAAGGTTTGTGCTTTGAAAAGAAATTTGAAAATTTACAAATTGCTGTGTCATGAAAATAGCATTAATTAATGAATTAATAGAATTAAATCCTGTATAGAAAATAGCTTTTCTTCCTGATGTGAGGAGTCCTTTTAGAGAGCAAACTGAAGGGAGAGCGTCAAGTGGAAGTGTTGTATCTATTGGAATTTTCCTCTCAACTTCATCTTATGTGGACAGAGTATCCCAGATATCTGGACAGTCATGGCCTATATTGCATTGCATATCAAAACTAAAACGCCACTGTGCTTAGAAAAATATCTTCTAGCCACCTACAACATTTCAGGCTGCTGTGACCTTATTACCATTTCTCTCTTCATGAAAGCTGGTGATGAAAGTGCACTCAATAGATCTCTTACCATTATCCAGCCCGTTTCCTGTGATCTTCTTAAAAGAGTAACAGAGAATTCCTAGCTGGGAAATGAATCTTAGGGTTAATGCAGTCTATCTTATCTCAGATCCCACTGGGAGAATAGGCTTTCTGTAATTCAGCTGTAGGTTATCCCTTCTTTGTGCAGACAAGATGGATGGGAAGATAGAACTGTTCATTTAAAAAAAAAAAAAAAAAAGATGGGTCAGTTTTTGGACAATGAGAAAAATTTGATTCCAGTTGGGCGCATGAGCAGAAGGGTTTGGATATAATAAATGGGATGTTTTTAGAAATGAGTGCTTTTTATATAAAGCAATAGATTAAGAGAAATATGGAATTCACATTATTGAAAGTGATAAAACCATGTTGTCAGGGAGTGAATGTAAAACCAGGTTCTGCCTCATCCCCCGGTCATTGCATCTGCTAGCTATCTCCTGATTAAATAAAAGCTCTTTTAGATTTAGTAACTTTGCTCTGGATATTGTGGCATCACTGTGCATGTAATGGTTTTAATAAATTTCATTTATAGAACTAAACAGAAAAGCAATCACTGGCAGAGAGGGCTCTGGCTGCAATGCGTTAACTCTTTGGAAACCTATTGTCCGACAGTTTAAATGTTGAATTTCAGATCACCTACAGCAGTACAGACAACAAATAATATGTTTTTGTTTTGTTTTTTAACTGGAATACATAAAGCAACCCTTCAGTGTCTGCAGTTGGTCACAGACAATTCTGCTTACTCTCCCTTTACAGTTAGAGAGAGACAGGATACTTTTTAAGAAGGATAGAATTTCTTATGAGAGGGAAGCTTACTAAAAAATTTTAATCCAAATCCTGTCCTTTCTTTCAAAATTTCCAAGGAACAACCGAGTAGTTAAAATATTTGGAAGATGAAACTAAAATAACAGGAAAGCACCATGCGTATGTGGGCAAATGCTGTACTGTTTGAAACTAAACTGGAATGTGCTGTAAGCCTATAGACTTTTCGCAACCGTGTTTTAATTCATTCTCAGGCAGGAAAACAAGACTCTAGATCAAATAAACATTTTTTCAGTAGTAATAGCCCAGTAGTAGTAATAGTTTTGCGTGACACTGGTGAATGGTGAACTTCACTTTGTTTAAATCTACAGAGGATAGGTAGCGTGCTAACTTGCAGCTGCTTGACTCTAAACTCAGGCTGAAACAGGTCAGATGTGTAGGTGTGGAGGCTGCCAGTTCAGATTCTTCATGTTGGCCAAAGGCTGGGTGTATGAAACAAGTTATATTGCTATCTAGCATGTGTGCTGCAAATACAAGAGAATACATCCACTGAAGCAGAACCATCATTTTAAGAGGAGCTTCATCATTTTGTGACAGCAGGAAATTGCAAGATATAAGGAACTTTTATTCATGGGTATTGTTCTGTACTGGCCTCTGTATAGCAAAAGAACTGGGAACAGCTCCAGAACTGGGCCCATTATGTGTGTGTCAAAAACAACTGTCTTTTCTGATTGGTCTTTTAAAAACTTTGAAAATGTTGAAGTGATTTTTAGGGAATGTGAAGAGACAAACTGGAGTATAAGAGATTTTGGCGTTCTTTCTTTCTATATCTCAACTGCACAAAGAGGATCTTCACTCTTGCATCCTGTTTCTCCATAAACCTTTCCTCTTTACTTTTCTTTGTGTGTTATATTTTGCAGGGAGAAGAGAACTCATATCTACCTCATGGATTTGGAAGCAATGTTATCCCCCTGAATTGTTTGGCTGTATGCATGGATAACATTGATTATTATGCATTTAGATATAAAGTCTGTACTCGGTCCAAACTCCTTTCTGTGTTACTATGGAATAATAATGCAATAAATGAAGTGTAAGTGCTGCATGGTATCTCCACTGGAGGTGATGGAAACTCTATATTTGCTGTCGCTATCACTGCTGTATTACACCTTACACTGCTTTCACTGATGACAGCAGATAATTGTGTGGCTTATTTGCCTTTAGTTACGGTATCATCAGCCTGTGCTTATGAGATGGTAGGTGCAAAATAGCTCTGCGGCAGGAGCTGGCTTCTTGGAGAGCTGTTCGGTGGGAACTGCATTGGTTGAGTTAAACTTGAGGAATTAATAATTTTTCTCTAATGACAGAACTGTGTTTGAAGAACACTTTCATCCCTGTTGAAATTTCTCTTTTTGTACATTGCTTTTGCTGCAATAAAATAAGATGGCCTTGGGAAACAGACAAGGCAGCTGCCTTTCTGTGGACATCTGTAAGCTCTGGGTTAAGCCTAAGCATCGGTGTGACTGAGTGTTTTAGCACAGGTTGGGAGAGGGGGCTAGGGAGAAAAAGCAGCGAAGTCAGAAGAGGTATTTATTTTATTGTCTTTGTGGTCAGTTTTAAATTCCTCGTACCTCTTTATCTTCTCAAGGTTCCTAGAAAGCTAAAATACATTGCTTAACAGCCGAACCAACATTTGTTCTGCTCTAATGAAGCTAAGAGTTGGAAATGATTACCTAATTTAATTCTGTTACTTTAAAATACTTCATTCTTTGGAATAAGTCCAGTATTTACAACTAAAGATCTCTTTATTTTTAATTTTTGTATAAACCAACACTTTTCTGACTTTTTGCAAAAAGATACATTTTGCATCTTATAATTTTCAGGTAAGTGAAAAATGAGAAAACAATGATTGATTAATAGAGGGGAAAAAAAATCAATTCTTTCTGCAGTTTGTATTACGCTCATCAATCGCTCCTTATCCTTTCTGATGATTTATGCCTGCTTTTAGGTCAAAGGGAATTTTGCTGCTGCTTCTGTGGCAAAATATGTCCCATTATGGCAAATTTGACTGAAAGCTACCCAACCTATAAGGTCTCACTAGCAAATGAGATTAGTTCTCTGCTAGAATAGTTTTTAGAAATAGATATTTTGGAAAATATATGCCAAAAGTGGATGATGTTTTCATGATTTTTCTTCCCTTCATCCTGCTGTTCCAGTTACTTTTAAATCAAGCATTTAAGATAACTTAGTTTTCAGTTCTTTCATGTAGGTAATATACGATATATATGAAATAAATGCTGTGCTATAGGATGAATCATATTTATAGTCTGAGTGTGTGTTTTGTTTTTTTTTTTTTAAAAAAAAACTAGACCTCATAGTAGTAAGGAATCAGAAGCAGCAGTAAGTGGTGTTTGCTCTGACTTCCAGGAACCCTGGAGCAGAGAGCCATTATGTCAACTGTGAGGGACAGCCGGCAAAGTTATTCCAAGGAGGGTCCCTTGGAAGAGTGGATTTGCCCAGTCTTCCACTTCTGTAGGCCCTGAACTACTAATCTAAGGCCTGGAACTAAGGCTAGTGACTACAATGGGCTGCAATGGCCATTATTGCCTAGGCTGGAGCACTGCAGCCCACAGGTTGTATGTGGTTGTTCTGGACTTCATGACTGGGTAAAAGATGATTAAAAAGTGAATGGAAAAGCCTACTCTGATTTTTGTGCTAAGTTATTATCTGCAGGGTATGCACAGCTTTATAAAATACAAGAACAATTTTGTATGTATAGGAGTAAGCCAAATATTTTTTGAAAAAGAAGTGGATGGTGACTGGGGAAAAGGAATGGAAGAAGCAGAGTACACATGCAAAGATCCTGTAGCAAATCACAGTGATTTTGATGCCTATATATGAACTGACCTGAATTCAGCATGAAAGTGAAGGGATGGTCTTTGACCTTTTCAGCTGTTTCAAATAGAGTTGCATTGTGACAGGGGTGTCCGGAAAAGATTAGCTGTGGCAAAGAGACATGCTTTGCCTATGGGCAGGGTCAGTAGGCCAGCAAAGTCGGCCCAAAGCTTGTCAGGACTGATTACATGTCAAAAATGGCTCTTGGGTGCTATTTATTGCACCTTTTAAACAGTATGGTGTGATTTTCTTGTGCTAATAATGCAAAGAGTGACAAAGAGGACTGTGAAATGTTTTGTTCCTTGGTATTGCTACACTGACAAGGGTAGTAAAAGCTTTTATTTGAGAATGCTAATTGTTTCTGGGGAGAAAACATCAGCAAAACAAAATCCCACGTGTCTTGATGTTTTGCTGGATCAGCACACTAAGTTAAGTAGTAGTCATTAGCACTTAGCTTTATTTGTTTTTCTTTCTGCAATCCTTCCTTTTTGTTCTTATATCCCCACCTTGTCAGTGTTGTGCAGGTACTGTAGTGTCATCTCACTTTATCCAGGAGGACTGGCCATTTTTTTGAATCGCTCAGGAACGAGCAGAGTTGCCAGGTTCAGCTCAACAAAATAAACTTGTTTTCCTCTGTTTTTGATATACTGAACTGATTTGAATCTTATTAAATTCAATGGAGTAATGCTGCTGTAAAACCAGATAAGTGGAGATTAAAGTTTGGTCCCAAATGTTTGGACTCAACACTCAAATCAACTACAGCATATTTTTATTTTCCTACATTAGGGAATGTCCACAAGATTATCACCACACTGCAAAACCTTCACAAGTTCAGAAGATTTTCTAGTGCTGGGCTGCAAGTGAATCAACTACCCCCAAAAAAACCAAAGTCAACCGTGCATGCTTGGTGAGTTCTAGCAGTTGTAAAGCTAGGGTCCTGCTTGTGTTGTTTGGTATCTTTGCTTATAATAGGTCAACCAGAATAAGAAGGTAGCGTACATGTTTAGCACTTGCCTTATGTCTCTTTTCCACATGACAAATGACTGTATTTATGATGTGACCATTTATGAAAGGGAGATAGCATTATTGGAAATGAAAGAGGACTTGGACCGTTCGGTATCATACGAAAGGCTGAGCTGCCTCTAGCTCTTTATTAAGTTGTGCCACATGGAGCTTTAAAGTTTCAGATCCTTCTGGTAAATGTGTTTGCAGTAGATATATTTTGTAACTGCTCTGACAGAAAAATTGCTAACATCCAAATGAATAATTATTTAAGAGCAGACATGAGCAGGCTAAGCAGCAGCTTATGCATAAAAGAATTGTACATTTGTGGTGAGTCAAATCGAATCTGAAACAACAATGTCATGCTATTGTGAAGATGGCAAACTCTGAAGAAGGATTTATAAACAGGTGTATAATCTGCATGACAGGGTATAGTCTTGCCCTACTCCAAATTTTTAAAGGCATCAGCAGAGAGCTATGTAAATGTTGGGACCCAACATTTCAAGAAAGGTGTGGCCCAATCAAAGAAAATCTAGAGAACAATAGCAGGGATAAAAAGCTAGTCTAGGATAAACGAGCAGTCTAGGATGAAAGAGCTATCGAGAAAGATTGATTGAAACTGGAGTCTTTAGGATAAGGAGGAGGAGGATAGAAGACTTCAGATATTTAGAAAGACCACTGCAAATAATTTTTCTCCTTATCTGTGGTGAATAGGACAGGAAATAATGGAATTAAGGTATCAAGGAAAACTCAGTTTGAGGTTTGGGAAAAGCTTTCTGAAGGTGATGATAGTAAAGCTCTGGGCTATGAAGCCTCTGTCATTGTAGCTGTTCTTAAGATAGGTTAATGAAATATTCAGAGGGACAGAGGGATGCCATGACAATTTTGCAACTTTTACTAAAAATGAACAGACTTCGTTCTGACAATAAAAGTGCAACTGAGTCAGAGTTTGTCAAGTGTAACTGCTAATTATTTTAATATACTCAAAACTTTGAAATGTCTTCCCCAGGTTTTATGCATCCTTCAACTAAACCACGCAGTTATGAGACTGTTTTAGGTTTTAATGGAAATGAGGCCATTGCTTCTGCAGTTATGACTGCTACTTGCCTACTGGGATTTATTTCCCCTCTAATTACCATGTGATTTCTATCTAGCAACCTCCATTCTGTGATATTATTTATTTTGTTGTTTTATTTGTAGAGAAGCTAAAGGTAACAATTTTATGCAATGTAAAGTAAACCTTATTATGATAGTTTGCAGTGCTCATCAGCTTCTTGTGGCACTGTTGAAGTCTGGCACCGTCCATGTATTTAGGACAAAAGTATGTTTTATGTGAGTGAACATTTTTATAGCCCTTAGAGCTGCAGTTTTTCCAGCTCTTCATGTGCCAAGATGGATGTACTCTGTGTGTGCTATCTGTGATGACACGGGAAACCAAAAGAATAGAATTAACATTAAAGTTTGGAGTATTTACTTGGATTTTATACAAGTGCCTAAACTAATATGGCAGTGAATTTGAAAGCCTGTTCTGAGAGGTTTTCCATTGCTATCAAGAAGACTTGTGAGACTTTTCATATGCTTAGTGTGCAAGAGCAAAGGAGTAAGAAGATAATGCTAAGGGAGGGGATATTCTAGACCTGATCCAACAATTCATAAGAGTAAGCAAACAAAAGAAGCCTTGGTCTGGGGAAGTTTTCTTTGTTCAGTGAAGGTAAAAAGTAATTTAGCACAACTCGCTTTTTAGTTCCCCTATAAGGACTGGCACAGAATTCAGATGTGTTCTCTCTCTGTCCTGGGTGTGTCTGTACAAATGTTGGCTTTCTCTCCATCCTGTGTTTGTAAATTGTTTCTGGGGCATGCTGAATATTTATTTCTGAGTGCTTGTTGTTTAAACTCAATCAATTACTTCTGTGTATTTTCTCTTACTTCACTGGAAACGTTTAAAGTATTTATCTGATGCCTTTAAAATAGGGGGTGAAGGGGAGGAAGGTTTATGAGAACTTCTGAGGTGTGACACTGAAATTCACTTTTGATAAGTTTTCGGCTACAGGCACGCTAACTGCCTCCTGCTTCATGTCATCTCCTCCAGCCTGCTGACTGAGCCATGCGTGACCATGCCCTACTGCAAAGTGACTTGGGTTAACAGACAGGCTAGATGCTTCGAGGTAGTACTGTACCCAACCTCAGCAGAAACAGGGTAGGGGCTAGTCACATAAGCAGATCAGATGGGTGGACAGTGCTGATGGACTGTGGTGAGGAGACTCTCTGGCTGCAGATTGAAGAGAATGCTTTTGGATGGTCTGAATACTTCGCCTTTCCACCCTTAGTTGTTCGTATCCTGGGCTGTTCTGAAGGTTATTCCATGTAGTCTAGAGACAGCTTTTTAAAATCCTGGAAGATGCCCAAACTGGATATTTAAAAACTGCTGTCATCTTAACTGCTCCAGGAGTTGTTGCTCCCGTTTGGCCTAGGTATGGAGTATCGTCCTCCCAGCTCCAGCTTAGCAGCTTCTGCTCCTGCTGTGTTCCTTGTGTTTCTGGTCTCTGGGCTTGCAGGTGCCAATGCTCAGTTTGTCAGCACCCCCTGCTTGGATTTAAAATAACTTTAAACTTTTTGTATTTTCTTAGTATCTCAAAACATAGTTTGTTTCCCTGAATATGGTCACTTGATTCTTTATATCGAATTTAATTTTGCTCTCTGTGGACAAATGTGTTTACCTCTTCATGAGAAGTCCGTAGAGCAGCATTAGTCTTTGAGGAACTTTGAAAGTCTACTAATTTATATCAGACTTGGATTATTCTGAAACATGTATTACAAGGGGGTTCTTTCGATCTAATGCCATAGCGAGAGATTGACCGAGTGCCCAAGGAGAAAAGACAAATGCTGACACAGATAATTGTTTCCTAACAAACAATTAACTATTGGGAAACAAGTAATTGAGAATTTCCTAAGTGAATTGGGAAATCCCCCCTGCTAGGCGCCATCTAGACTAAAATGGCTACTTCTTCCCAGGGCAAGTCAGGTGACAGGAGGATGAAGAGATGGTAAAGACCAATTGACTCATGCGAGCAGGCTGCCCTCATTTTTCGAGCAAATGTGACAAGCATCCGTATTGACTTATGCCTGATCTAGTTGCTGATGGGAGGTATTGAGATGTAATATAGTAGTGGGTCCATATTTGTTTCTTTGTTCCTTGAAATCAGTTTCTCTGGATGCTGTGAAGCTTCCAGGAAGCAGATCTTACACTGTTGAAGGGGTTACTTCTGTGTTATTTACCGCACTTAGCAGCTATGGGCTCCTTGAAGAAACTTGTACAGCTGCTGCCCTTAACTGGGTCTGCTTCATTTCATGCCTGACATCTGTGGGAGTGTAACTGGTTGGTTCTGCAGGGAGAAAGTTGGTATCTGGCTACCTGGTGAAGCGTAGTAGAAAGGTGTAAGGAACTGGAGAAATTCAGGGAAAAAGGCAGCGTACCTAGTGCTACATGATGGTTGTTGCTTTACTCTGTTAAGGTTTTATCACTTTCTTGAATCCTTGTGAGCTAGAATTTGGATGCTTTGAATGAATAGAACAGTTTGTAGTGCATGATCATAGCATGCAGAGAGCAGTCAGGATCAAATACCTTACCATGACTGGTCTCTCACGCTTTCTATCCATTGTTTTTGCAAATTGATATTCCTTCAATGAACTATAGGAAGCCTATTTCGAGATGACTTATACAGTAAAGTGTTGTCATGGTTCCTGCATTGCCTTTACACTGTCTAATGCTTTAAAATCTTCATAGACACATAATCTAGCGAGGGGGATACCCAGTAATCTCTTCAGGTCTGTGAAGTATGAAACTATTACTTCTTTCTGTTTCTATTTAACAGCTTTAATAACTAACATCAGTATTCATTTGATAAGCCTTTTGGCAAGAGACTATATGATGGCTTCCTCCAAACTGAAAAATAATAAAATATTTAACTTCCTCTTCTAAAGCATGCACTCATTCTCAAGCATTTCTTTCATATCTCGGTGCTTCAAGCTCCCATTAAAGTGCCTTCAGAACATCCCATCAAGTGTTGAGAGAGATATATATTCATATTTATATATATGTGTGTGTATATATGTATCAATACAGATATATTTTAAATCAATAGTTAGAAAAATATTGTTCCTAAAGCTACTAGGTGAGACCAGGATTCCAGTGGACATGATGAGATAGAAAAAGCAGATGAACATAAGTGTTCTCTTTTTAGAGATACAAACTGAGGAGAGTGCAGGATCCGTAAACATGGAATGTCATTATGAGCGTCATTGTGAGTGTAGCTTCAGTTTCTCTGAACCGTGTAATTTTATAAATGTTTCCACTTTTTTGATCTGTCTGAATTAGGCTAATAGCACTGACTCTTTGGAAAACATCAGAACCTTTCAAAAAACTGCCCAAGCAAAGAGCACTAAAGCCTCTTTATTATGAGAGAAATGCACGTGTAAAGAATTGTCTGTAATCTCTTAAATGCGCACAGATATATGCAATAAGATAGTATACTTAATGTTGTAAACTGATTAAAAGAATAAAAAAGTGCAAATACACCTGTCGTTTCTCCTACCTAGGAATCATTTCCAAAATGCATTTTCAAACCTAACTATGATTCGGAAAACCTCTGAGTGGTGAGTAGATAAAACCTATCCTGTGTTCCTTTCACTTTTAGCTATAATGCAGCATTCCAAATACCTCTTTTCTTTGTGGTCCTTGAAAATTAAATTTGAATGACACTTTAGTAACTCTTTAAAAAAAAAAAAAAAAAAAAGTATAGCATGAATCTAACTAGCCAATGTCATTTTTCACTATCTGATCCAGAATATTGACATGAGTTTTTGCTCCTTAAAAATAAAAGGCATACTGAAAGGATCAAGTGTGGA